AAAAAAACCTGTCTTATAAAAACATTATATAGTCAATATTTTAAGAGTTAGAAGTTCATAAGCATGGTGACTAACTCTTAGGAAAGAACCTATTATTTATCAGTATATTAAAATCTTACTGAAGTAAACAGGATAGGCTGGTAGATTTTAAGGCAAATTAAAGCAAAAAGATTAAGATGAGAGATAGAGCTGTTATTTACGGAAGGAGATTTAGTTACGATTGAGGAAAGGAACTATAATTTATAGAGGGTAATTAGGCTGGGATTATGCTCAGCTATGATTAGCAAAGACCCAAATTAATGATGGCTTAAACCAGTTGAATCATACAGTTTGGATATTTGTCCCCCTAAATCTTATGTTGAAATGTAATCCCCAATGTTGGAGATGGGGCTTAGTGAGAGGTGTTTGGGTCATGAGGGCAGATCCTTCATGGCTTGATGCTGTTCTCATGATATTGAGTGAGTTCCTGCGAGATCTGGTTGTTTAAAAGTGTGTGGTACCTCCCTGTCCTCTCTCTCTTGCTCCCCCTCCTGTGCTGCCTTTGCCTTCTGCCATGGTTGGAAGCTTCCTGAGGCCTCCCCAGAAGCTGATGCCAGCGCTGTGCTTTTTGTACAGCCTGCAGGACCATGAGCCAATTAAACATCTTTTCTTATGAATTACCCAGTCTCAGATATTTCTTTGTAGTAACACAAGAACTGTCTAACAAAAAGAAAATGTATTGACCTCTTCTGTAAAGGTGAATAGTTCAATACTGGGGTGATGCTCTGCTCCTTGAAATCTTCAGAGACCCTGACTGCCCCTAGCTTTTGATCTGCCCTCTTAGGCTATGACCCTCATTTTCATCATCCCAGATGGAGCTCTAACTACCACATACATAGTCGAAGGGTTAAATAGAGGGAGGAGGGAAAAAAGGGCAAGCACCAGCTATCTTTAAAGGAAATTTCCTGCAAGTTGCTGCACAATTCTTTTCCTTATAGCATGTTCACCGGAACCTGGTCACATGGCCACACTGGCTGCAGTGGAGGCTGGAAAAGGATTCTTACAGTCCCAGTGGCCCTACGCCCTGCTGAGAATCAGGGATTCTAATACCAGTAGGCTGTTTGGGGTAGGTAACCATTGATCTCTATTGCCAAAGGGTCTACTGGATGTTGTCTATTTCCTTATCATAAAATGGGTTAAATTGGCCTGGTGCATGGCACACGCCTATAATCCCAACACTTTAGGAAGCTGAGGCAGGCAGATCACTTGAGGTCAGGAGTTCGAGACCAGCCTAGACAACATGGTGAAACCCCGTCTCTACAAAAATACAAAAATTAGCCTAGTGTAGTGACGCATGCCTGTAATCCCAGCTCCTCAGGAGGCTGAGGCAGGAGAATTGCGTGAGCCCAGGAGGCAGAGGTTGTAGTGAGCTGAGATCACGCCACTGTACTCCAGCCTGGGTGACAGAGTGAGTGAAATTCTATCTCAAAAATAAATAAATAAATAATTTTTAAAATGGGTTAAATATTATTAACAGGGTTAAACAAGATAACAATAGCTAATACTTATACTTCTTATATTCCAGGGATTTCAGGTGAAAAACCTATTTATAATTATCTTATAATTTTTAACATAATTTTTTTTGCTCTTCACACTGCATTTTTCAAAAATACAATTATCATGTAAATTCAGGGAAGACTATGCTTGTTTTTGTTTAGAGTTTTACTGACAGTTTTCACTATTTTAGAACAGCATTGACAACGCTGCAAGCTGCACTTGAATCACTGAGACAACATCCATGCCTCTGTTTACAGGTTCAAGCAGCTGACTACTTTGTGAGATTTTCTAGTGTAGAAGTGCCTGAGCATTTGCATATTTTTATTATCAATTATTTTATATTTATGTCTGCTTGATGCTACAGTTTAGGCATTATATTTATTTTAAAATTACATGTGTAGGTAGGCTATATTCTGTATGAATTTCACTTGATAGTACAGAACAGAACTGCTGCTAGCATATAAGCTGCCTCTGTACAAATAAGAAAAAGAGGCCCCCTCGAGTGGAGGAATTAGGAAAAGGCACCCCTTCTTTGGGGTTGATGTAGCCCCCTGCCAGAGTGCATGACTAGGCAACAGAGTGCACCTAGAATTTGCCCCCCATCTACCACTTGTATAACTGTAGATGGCAAGCCCCTTTAAAGGCAGCATGAAAAAAAAAAATACTTTTTTTTTAGACGGGATCTTGCTCTGTCTCCCAGGCTGGAGTGCAATGGTGCGATCTTGGCTCACTGCAACCTCCGCCTCCCAGGTTCAAGCAATTCTCCTGCCTCAGCCTACCTAGTAGCTGGGATGACAGGTGCATGCTACCACGCCCAGCTAATTTTTGTATTGAAAAAATACTTCTTGTAGAAAGTAGGCATTGGGTCTGATGGGGCTGATGATTACTGTTATAAAAAGATAGTCAAGGATTGAATCTAGAAATACTTCCATGTTTAGAGGTATAGTAAGTGGACCCAACAGTTAGGAAGAGACCGAGAGAGTAGTGTCGTAGAAACCAAGTGAAGACAGTACTGTAAGAAGAGAAATTGACCCTTTGCATCAAATGCTGCTGTTAACCAGCGCTTTGGGAGGCCAACATGGACAGATCACTTGAGGTCAGGATTTCAAGACTAGCCTGGGAAACATGGTGAAACCATCTCTACTAAAAATACAAAAATTAGCTGGGCGTGGTGGTGTACACCTGTAATCCTAGCTACTTGGGAGGCTGAGTGCAAGAATTGCCTGGGAAGCAGAGGCTGCAGTGAGCCGAGATCATGCCACTGCACTCCAGCCTGGGAGACAGAATGAGACACAGACTCAAAAAAAAAAAAAAAATCAAGACAGATGAAAACTCATTCTGTCCGCTGGAGTAGGCCATGTGGGGGTCACTGATGATCTTTACAAGGACACCCAGTGAGGTAGTAGGATTGAAAGCTTGATTGACATGGATTTAGGTGGAAACATAGGGAGAAGTGAAGAAGGTAAGTATAGACAACTCTGGTGCTCGAGACTAAGGAGCTGAGGGTGTTTGCAAGGGAGTGTTGATACGTAAGTCAATGAATAACAAAGATAATATTAGGTAGTGATTTACATTTTGAAGAAAAATATGTAAAATAACACCCAAAAGACTGGGGCTCTAGTATTCATTCAGTCATTAGACTCTTTGAGTCCTTGAACAGGTCACCTTTACCTCATTGGGTCTCAGTTTCCTTAACTGAAAAAAAATGCAAAGATTGAACTTGGTGACCTCTTTTATCTTTAGCATCTGTTATTCTATATATTGAAAAATAGCTTCCAAACAAACTAGTTTATACTTTACCATCTTGTACAAAGTATTTAGCCTCCCTATATCTTAGTTTCTTCTATTATTTTATTTTATTTTTACACTTGATCTTAGCCAAAAGGCCGAGAAGCAATATTTTGATTTATTTTGAGACAGAGCCTCGCTCTGTCACCCAGGCTGGATTGCAGTGCACTATCACGGCTCACTCCAGCCTCAAACTCCCAGGCTCAGGTGATCCTTCTACCTCAGCCTCCCAAGTAACTGAAACTACAGGCACATGCCACCATACCCAGCTAATTTTTGTATTTTTTGTAGAGACAGAGATTTGCCATGTTGCCCAGGTTGGTCCCAGACTACTAGACTCACATGATCTGCTTGACTCAGCGTCCCAAAGTGCTAGGATTGCAGGCACAAGTCACCGCATCTGGTCAGTTTCTTCTATTTTAAAACTATGGACATGTCCAAAGATGTTCATGGTCAATACTAGTTAAGTGGCTAAATAATACTTCCATTGGCAACAATTTTTTCATATGATAAAATGTAATACAGGCTAGGCATCATGGCTCACACCTGTAATCCCAGCACTTTGGGAGGCTGAGGTGAGTGGATCACCTGAGGTCAGGAGTTCAAGACCAGCCTGGCCAACATAGTGAAACCCTGTGTCTACTAAAAATACAAAAAAAATTAGCTGGGCATGATAGCGGGCACCTGTAATCCCAGCTACTCGGGAGGCTAAGGCAGGAGAATCACTTGAACCTGAGAGGCAGAGGTTGCAGTGAGCCTAGATCACACCATTTTACTCCAGCCTGGGCAACAAGAGCGAAACTCTACCTCAAAAAAAAAAAAACAAAAGTAATACAATAATTTAAAATAACATTTACAAGCATTCTAATGACATGGAAAAATACAAGGCATCAAAATATGTAAATAAATATTAATAATGTCAAATAAAATATAAAACAGACTAAAAAGAAACACCAAAATAGTATTAGTTGTTATTTTTAGGTTATGGGATTTGGGATGGTTAAATTTTCTTTATAATTTCTTGGGTTTTTCATTTTTTAAAATTTTGCCATTAGAAAGTGTGCCATTGATAATAGGGAGATTATTTTTTAACTCAGCTTTAGCTTTTTAACATTTATGAATGCTTATGTCCATAACTATTTGTTCACAATTATGTTCCATACAAGGGATTTACAGAATATGGTCACCATGACCCTGAAGTCACTTGCATACACACTAATTTAAACATGTAAATGTTCACTCAAGAATATATTCATCTGGCTGGGCACAGTGGCTCACACATGTAATCCCAACACTTTGGGAGGCTGAGGCAGGCGGATCACGAGGTCAGGAGTTTGAGACCAGCCTGGCCAACATGGTGAAACCCCATCTCTACTAAAAATACAAAAATTACCTGGGCATGGTGATGTACACCTATAATCCCAGCTACCCAGGAGGCTGAGGCAGGAGAATGGCTTGAACCCAGGAAGTGGAGTTTGCAGTGAGCCATGATCACGCCACTGCACTCCAGCCTGAGTGACAGAGCAAGACTCCATCTCAAAAAGAAAAAAAAAAAGAATATATTTATCTGAGATTAGCCAGTGAATCTTTCCTTTAAGAGGTGGTGGAAATGTATTCATTTTTAAAGTTAGAATTGGTAATATTAGAATAATAATAGTCTAAACAATATCTTGTGCTATAGTCGGGTATGAGCAGGACAGGAGAGGGCTCCCCCACTACACGCACACTAGGTGTGTGGGGCAACTACCCGGTGATGGTCAGGCAGTTGTTAACTGTTTCGCTACAGTAATAATTGGTCACAGCTGGCACCAGGGAAAGACAGTCACTTAACAGATAGAAAACACCTGAAACTGGTGAGCAGCCGCTTCTGGATCAGATCTCAGCGTTGGATGAGCAGGAGAACCAACGCAAGACCTCGGAAGTGTGCCAAGGTATGAAACCCCAAGTCAAAAGTTCAAACCATGCTCGTCTTTCAAATTGCCCGCTTGGCTCTCTGTCAAGTGTACTTTCCTTCCTTTCCTTCCTGCTCTAAAGCTTTTGAATAAACTTTCATGCCTGCTCTAAAACTTGTCTCGGTCTCTCCTTCTGCCCCTCAAATTGTTTCTCCTGAGGAGTCAAGAATTGAGGTTGCTGTAGACCCGGATGGATACGGGTTCTCCACCGATAACAGGGCTACATACACAATTAATATTAACCATTCTGTTGTAATCAAAATCATCCAGCAGAATTTCAGAATCTTGCAAAAGTTGACCATATGTGTCATAATGGTCTTTCCCTCAAACCTCCTCCCCCTCAACCCCCTGGCCTTTTTTTTTTTTTTTTTTAAGATAGTGTCCCACTCTGTCACACAGGCTAGAGAGCAGTGGTGTGATCACAGCTCACTGCAGCCTCAAGCTCCCAGGCCCAAGCGACTCTCCCATCTCAGTCTCCCAAGTAGCTGGAACTACATCCATCACACACATTTTAAAACATTTTATAAAGACAGGGGTCTCGTTACATTGCCTAGACTGGTCTTGAACTCCTTGGCTTAAGCAGTCCTCTTGCCTCAGCCTCCCAAAGTGCTGGGATTGCAAGCCTGAGCCACTACACCTCTCCCTCTCTCCCTCTCTCCCACTCTCCTCCCTCCTCCATCTCTCCCTCTCTCCTCCCTCCTCCCTCTTCTGTCTCTCCCTCTCTCCCTCTCTTCATCTCTCCCTGCCTCTCTCCCTCTTTCTTCCCTCTCTCATCCCTCTTTCCCTCTTTCTCTCTCTCCTCCCTCTCTCCCTCTTTCTTTCTCTCCTTCCTCTCTTCCTGTCTCTCTCCTCCCTCTCTCCACCTTCTCTCCTCCCTCTCCACCCTCTCTCCCTCTTTCTGTCCTCCTCCTCTCCCTTTTTCCTTCTCTCCTCCCTCTCTTCCTTCCTCTCTCCCTCTCTTATCCCTCTCTTCCTCTCTCATTTCTCTCTCCCGCTCTCATCCCTCTCTCTCTCTTTCCCTCTCTCTCTTCTCCCTCTCTCCACGCTCTCTCCTCCCTCTGTCTCTCCTGTGTTTATTCCTCTTTCCCTCTCTCCTCCCTCTCCCCCCTCTCTCCTCCCTCTCTTCCTCTCTCTCTCCTCCATCTATCCCTCTTTCCCTCTTATCCCTCTCTCCTTCTCTTACCCTTCTCTCCGTCTTTCTCTCTCTCCTCCATCTATCCCTCTTTCCCTCTCATCCCTCTCTCCTTCTCTCACCCTTCTCTCCCTCTTTCTCTCTCCACCCTCCCTCTTCCCTCTCTCTCCTCCCTCTCTCTCTCCTCTCTCCCCTTTCCCCTCTCTCCTCCCTCTCCTTTCCCTCTCCTCCCTCTGTGCTCTCTCTCTCTCTCTCTCTCAGGTTGCACACATGTACACTCCAAAGACTTATCTTTTAAGCACACTTCAACAGTAAACAAGGAAGCTGGCATTAACTCAAGCCAACACATTCCCTGCTTTCTGAACATTATAACATCCTGAGCCACAGTCCCTTCTGCATCTGAGTAAGTTTCCAGTATTTACCCACGTTTCTGGCTGAGTTAACTCTCTCCTGCTGGGCAAGAAGATGAAAGTGAGATGAGATGGGGAGAGGAAATGTATAGAATGTGGATTTTAAACCAAATATCTTCGCCTATGCAAATAAGAACAGGACAGATGTCTAGCCTTCCCTAAGCAGACAGGATGAAGTAGGTAGCGAAGATCCTCTTTTTATTTGAACATAACGTTTGAAGTAGTTTCCGAGTGAAGAATTCAAGATTGTTTCCCTACTACTGTTCGAAGTCCGTTTGCTACTTAATTATATTCATGAATGCTCATTAATACACCGTTTGAAGAGATTAACTGGAACAGTGCCCAAGGCAGCATACGCCTTTTCCAGGCAGGAATAAGGATACCCTCAAATATGTGAATATGGACAATAGGCAAGCCAGCATAGTGACACACTTGTTTCATGAGTCATTTTAATTAAATAATACATGAGCAAATACTGAGTAAGGCCTTACTCCATGACAAATAATAGGAATTCATATGAGATAAAGAAGATTATGTTTTCATAGATAATTTGATACATTTGTGGTCTATTTGTGGGGAAAAGAGAATATTCTGTTCTTAATCATTTCATTCTGGATTATAATAAATCTGCATTCATATAAACATGACTAATTTGGAATTTATGGGAATTCCATTAGAGCTGAATTTATCATTGTTCTCTGAAAAGAAAATCTTGCTAAGAAAGCTGCTCGTGTAAACAAGAATGCACTGCACATATATCCCAGAACTTAAAGTAAAATTTTTAAAAATCCCAGAAAAAAAAAGAATGCGGAAGAAATCATTAGGAATTTGCAAAGAGTATTTTCTAACTTTTAAAAGGCATCCTTGATATCATCAAAATGTATACTTGCAATAGAAACAAAAGCCTGAGAGTCCTTGTTATATCACCTGATACTCATCATCATCACTCTTTCCTCTTCTTCTCACTTAGCAATGTATCATGAACATTTTCACATGTCAATATACATTATTTTACAACAAGATTTTTAATAGCTGCATGATATTCCATCTCATGTTCTACTATAATTTATTTAACCTGTTGTTGGACGTTCAACCTGGTTATGACTTTTTTGTAATTGTAATGGTGCCATGAACCTCCCTATTCATATTCATTTGTATGTACCTCTTTGATTGTGTTCTTAGGCTAAAGTCTTAAAAATAAGATTGTTTGATCATAGGACATGTTTAATTAAGGCCTTTAAGGTATTCCAAAATTAAAGGGCTGGAAGTCAGAGGGCAAGGAATTCCACTGATAGAGTCCATAGACTAACCTCCTGGGACAGAGCAAGACAGAGAAGGACAAGGAATGCATCTTGAGAGGCTAACACAAGTCATTCAGCATCCTCCTTCCCCAAACTAGAGCCTCTTTGCTGCATTTTTTCCTGTAAAGCTTATTTCCTGTTCATGTCTCCTATAATGTATATATTTATTATAATAATTATTATTTTTTGAGACGGAGTCTCCCTCTCACCCAGGCTGGAGTGCAGTGGCACCATCTCGCCTCACTGCAACCTCTGCCTCTGGGGCTCAAGCAATTCTCTTGCCTCAGCCTCCGGAGTAGCTGGAATTATAAGCATGCACCACCAGGCCTGGCTAATTTCTTTTTGTATTTTTAGTACAGATGGGCTTTCACCATGTTGGCCAGGCCATTCTCAAACTCCTGACCTCAGGTGATCCACCTACCCTGGACTTCCAAAGTGCTGGGATTACAGGCATAAGCCACTACATCTGGCCAATTTCTTATTTATTTTAATTATTATATGTTTGCCTTCACTAAAATATAAGGTCTATGAAGTCAAGAATTGGCTTTTTACTTCATTGCTGGATATCCAGTTCCTAAGCAAATGCCATGTACATCATAATCAATAATTCTATTTTTAATGAATAAGTAAAACAAAGGGATTGATAATCCTGCTATATTACGTACCAGTCAGATCACCTCTGAAGTATTCCGGTCAGACCAGGTCCTACTTGGAGAGGAATATTGACACACTGACAAGTGGTCTTTTAAGTGTGTCCTGGGCAGAATGATTGAAGAAACTCTGATTGTTTGGTTTGGAAAAGAGAAGGAAGTTAGGGATAGGAAAACTTGTCTATCTTAAAATATTCAACTCTCTTAAAACATTAAAAAGCCTTTCATATGAAAAATATTCAGGCTTATAACCTGTACCACAGGATGGAAATTGTTGAATTTTGCTCAGCCTAAGAAAGAGCTTGTTCTCATTTAGAGCTGCATTAAGAATTGAATAGGCTTCTTCTCTCTCTCTGTCTCTATATATATACACACACACACACACACATATATACACATACATATGTGTACATATACATAATACACATACGTATATACACATATATACACATACGTATATACACATATATACACATACATGGCATTTGTTTAGGTAGTGGATATCCAGCAGTGAATTAAAAAGCCAGTTCTTTCACATATATCAAGGAAGAGAAATGGAGGAATATATGTATGTGTATATGTGTGTGTGTATATATATATATATATTCCTCCATGTCTCTTCCTTGATATAAAAGAATTGGCTTTTTAATTCACTGCTGGATATCCAGTACCTAAATAAATGCCATGTACCTCATACACAATGATTCTATTTTTAATGAATGAGTAAAAAAAGGGATTGGTAATCCTACTAGATTGTGTACCAGTCAGATTACCTTTGAAGTATTTTGGCCAGGCCAGGTCCTACTTAGAGAGGAATATATCTTTGATAAATACGAACAGTATACATATAGAGGAATATAATATATATATAATATATATATCCCTTGCCATTTTAAGGAGAAAACACTTATTGGGATATAGAGGTGATGCAAGTATCTGATGGGTAAAAAGATTCTGAAGGTTTCTTTCAATCTTGAGGTCTTGTGATTCAGTAAATATATTAACATGGCTTTTATGGTTTTTATTCTGATAATTTTCTTACTGGTTCATCACCAGAGAAGGGACCAATATAGGGGCAAAGAAGAATATCATGATCTGATATAAAATAATACATATTTTGAGGGTAGCCAAAAGTTTTGCTTACTAGAAATGGTATCTTCCATTCATTTCATAGAAAGCTAGAAAATTCACCGTTTAAAATTAATTGCTTTAGGTTGAAACTGACAGTAAATCTTCTATTTATTCAGGGCAATGCTCAATAGAAAAAAAAATGTAAATATAGGGCAACATCAAGTAAGAAAACAATCTAATTTTAGAAAAAAAACTTAGAGAAAGTATCCTAAATCAATATAGCCTAATATTATTGAGGTCATGGAACATAAATAAAATAAATGTTAAGAAATACATTAATAATCTGGTATGATCAGTAAGTTCCTTCCTTTCTCCCATCTTTTATCTTACTGTTTCTTCTTTCCCTTTCTATCACTTCTCTCCTCTTTCTTTCCCATTCTTCAGTAAGTATCCATTTATCACTGACTTATTATAAGCTCTGGGAATACAATGATTAACAAATGGAGACATGGTTCCTTCCTACCTGGACCTAGCAGGAGCCAGTTAACAAGAAGAAGAAAAAAAGACTTTCAAGACCAAGAAAGGAAGGGGGGTAGAAAAGCAATGAACAGAAGAGAAATGGGCAACATCGTTTGCTTAAATTTTTCTACCTTCATCCCACTCCATTCCTTGTATAGTTTTTCTTGCTGGGTGCCATCTTCTTTCAACTTCTGATAAAACCCACTGCAATGCAATAATCATCCAAGTGTTCTTCTGATTGGATAACAAGTTCATTTAATTATTTTCAATAAATTATTTTTAAATCCAAGTGTCCTTCTGATTGGATAGCACATTCATTTATTTAATTATTTTCAATAAATTACTTTTAAATATGATCGTATTTAAAATCTTTCCCAGGAAAAGAGGAAGACAGTAACTTGACAGTGGAGAAACCTGGAAGCCATTGCCTTAATCATGAAGGTTAGTGTCATCAGTGATGTCCTGAAGGTATCATGTCTGCCAGATTTCTATTCTTCCCCTGGATAGTTAATGATGAGCTAACCATCTTAGAAGTCAAAGGAAATTTTTGTTCATTAAGGGACTTTGAGAAGCCTTTGGGCTCTCTTGAGTGTTACTTGCTTTCCACTGCAATACATTCCTCTTCCATCCCTGCCCTCTGCTGGGTATGCTGTCTGTCACTTTGACCTTGATTACATGGGTTTGGCTTTCTGGTTGGGGCCACTTCCATCAACACCATGTTTAACACAAGTTGCTTTTAAATAGCGTTCATTTAAATTATGGAGTATTCCAAACTGCACAAAAATGCCAAAAATAGTATGACAATGTAAAACATACTCCATCCCTGTTTTAAAACGCTGTAACGTTTTGCCATATTTGCTTTGCCCCCTTACCCCCAAATTACAAAAAAGATATAGAAGTCCCACATCCACATCCCATTTCCCAACTGTCCCTTTGAGAAGGACTACAGGCTATATACCTGGAGTTGAAATTGACTATACCCATCTTCAACTTTTCTAGATATTGCTGAATTGTTCTTTAAAGTTAGTTTATATTAATCAGGGTTCTCCAGAGAAACAGAATCAAGAAGATAGAGATATATAGACATGGGTATGAATATGTCTATAGATGTAAATATGGATATTGATATAGATTATTTTATAGAATTGGCTCACATGATTGTGGGTGTGGTGGGGTGGGTCAGCAGGCTGGAGATTCAGGTAAGAGTTGCTGTTGTAGTCTTGAGTTTGAAACCTGCAAGGTGGTCCAGCAAATGGGAAACTCAGGCAGAGCTTCGATGTTGGATTCTTGAGAAAAATTATTCTTTCTTGAGTCTTTGCTCATAAGTCCCTCAACTGATTGGAAGAGGCCCACCCACATTATGGAGGGTAATCGACTTTTCTCAATGTCCATTGATTTAAATGTTAATCACATCTAAAAAAGTACATTTGCAACAACGTTTAGACTCATATTTGACCGAACAACTGGGCATCTCAGCTTAACCAAGCCGACACATAAAATTACCTATAATTGCCGGGCATAATGGCTCATACCTGTAATCCCAGCATTTTGGGAGTCTGAGGCGAGTGGATCTCTTGAGGTCAGGAGTTTGAGACCAGCCTGGCCTACATGGCAGAAACTCATCTCTACCAAAATTCCAAAAATTAGCCAGGTGTAGTGGTGGGCACCTATAATCCCAGCTACTCGGGAGGCTGAGGCAGGAGAATCACTTGAACCTGGGAGGCAAGGGTTGCAGTGAGCCGAGATTGTGCCACTGCACTCCTGCCTGGGTGACAGAGCGAGACTCCATCTCAAAAAAAAAAAGAAAAAAAAGAAATTAACTGTCATAGGGTTGTACCAGTTTATACCAGTTTATACCCCCACCAGCACCTTTGAGAGTTCTTGTTGCTTGATACCCTTACCAGTCTTTGGTACTTACAGACGTTTTAATTTTGCCAGTCTGCTTAGTGTGAATTGGTATCTTGTTTTAATTTGGATTTTTTGATTTTCCTGACTACTAGAAAATTGAGTATTGTTGTGTTTGTTTATTGGTCTGAGTTTTCTCTTCAGTTGATTGCGTATTCAAATCTTGCTCATTTTTATATTGAGTTCTTTGAATTTTTCTCATTGACCTATAAGACTTTATAATTCTGGATAAAAAATACTTTGTAGATTATTATAACTTTCTTTTCCTAGACTAATGGTTCTCAACATCGGCTGTACATTAGACTCACTTGGGGAGCTTTTAAAACTCTAAGTACCTTGGCTGTACCTTCAACCACTTAAAATCAGGATTTTGGGAGGTATAACCTAGGATTAGTACTTTTCAAAGCTCTCCAGGTGCTGCTTGTGTGCTTCTGAGAAACAGTGTCCCAGACTAAGGCAGTAGGGTCCCCATACAGAAAGTTTTAATTTTAATGTTTCTGATGCCTTAATTTTCTTTTATAGTTTCTTTTTGTTTTCTTTAAATTTTTCTACACCTGATGTCATTAAAATATTTTACTATATATTCTTCTCCCTATCTCTTTTGTGTATTAAAATTCTTACAGTGTTGTGACAAGGATTTTTCTACACAGATGACTAAAAACTCTTGTTTTGACAGATTGACAACCTCCTTTTTTTTTCAGTTTGTCATTACAGAACCAAGAAAAGGTAGTTTTAGTAGAAGTTGTGCAAAATACTTAGTTTTATGATGTGGCTATAAGTGAGAAGGAACCGTTGATTTTAGTCATTGCATTCCAATTTTAGAGCTTCATTTTCATTTGTATTATATCCAAACTTTTGAAGGGTGATGGTTTGACTGATATGCTCTAATTCAGCTTCAGTAAGAGTTATTAATCATACGTGTGGTTCCAGTAGAAGTATTTTAATTTCCATTGACTAAACTGGGGAAGAAAAGTTACTGATAAAAACAGGAAGTTAAACGACTTCAGTGAAGTGACTAATTATTGCTGGCTCTAACTGTGGACACAAGTGGGATTATTATAAAGTAGGGAGATGGTGGATCTGAAGAAGCTTAGGATGAGGTAGCACTAGATAGATCTTATTCGTGGAACATTGTTGAGTGTACACTTGCATCTTTCTTTGTGACTAAAACCAGAAAAAGTGAACACATCTGTGATGGTTAATATTGAGTGTCAACTTGATTGGATTGAAGGATGCAAAGTATTGTTCCTGGGTGTGTCTGCGAGAGTGTTGCCAAAGAAGATTAAATTTGAGTTATTAGACTGGGAAAGGCAGACCCACCCTCAATCTGGGTGGGCTCCATCTATCAGCTGTCAGCACAGCCAGAATAAAAGCAGACAGAAAAACATGGAAAGACTAGAACTGGTTTAGTCCTCCAGCCTGCATCTTTCTCCCATGCTGGATGCTTGCTGTCCTTGAACATTGTCTTCAGCTTTGGGACTTGGACTGGCTTCCTTGCTCCTCAGCTTGCAGACAGCCTATTGTGGGACCTCACCTTGTGATTGTGTGAGTTAATACTCCTTAATAAACTCCTCTTTATATGTACATCTATCCTATTAGTTCTGTCCCTCGAGAGAACTCTGACTAATACAGTATCTTTCCTGCTCTCTTCATGCTCTTGTTAGCAGCACGTTGCTTCTTATTGTTTTGTTCTTCTTTCCTTTCCATGCAACTCATGTGACTTTTAAGTTTTCTTATTTTCTGTGAAACAAAATTTGTTTGTCCACGTTTCTTTGCTGCTTCATCCTGCTTGTCGAGTTTTGGTTGCATATAACAGAAATCTAAGTCAAACTAGCTTAAGCCAAAAAAAAAAAAAAAGACCCTAATTATAGTTTTTGTTTTCATTTATGTATGCATTCAGGGAAGGAAACTATTGTTTAGGATCATTGACTAGTGCCTGAAAGAAATTTGGAAGCCAATCAAGGAAAACAAAATGTGATTTACAAGAAAAAAGTAAGGTTGTTTGCTTTGTGAATGGCATTTTACCAGGTACAGAGTACCTTTTGGTTTCCCTAGCAGTACTGAAATACTTTCATTACACAAGGACTCTCAATAGTTTAAAGCTCACAATCTCAGCACTATTTATTTATTTTTATTGTGGTAAAAATATACATAATGTAAAACTTACCATTTTAATCATTTTAAGTATACAGTTCAGTAACATTAAGTAGTGACATTATTGTGCAACCATCACCGCTATCTGCCTCCAGAACTTTTTAACTATTGACATTTTGGACTGAATAATTCTTGTTGGAGTGGTGGTAGGATCTGTCCTGTACACTGTAGGGTATTTAGCAGCATCCTTGGCCTCTACTCATTAGATGCCAATAGCATCTCCACCCTCTCCCACCCCCACCCCGTCCTGAAAATCAAAAATGTCTCTGGACATTGCCAAATGTCCCCTGGGAGGCGAAGTTATCCATAGTTGAGAACCATTGATTTTAAGGGGAAGAATTTCTATTGTAAGTTGTGCCATTTTAACTTTGAAGAAATAACTTGGGAAAAATGCATTTTGGGCATTCATTAATATCAGACACAGAACTATTTGTAACTTAACTATGTACCAGATCAATTGTGCTTTCAGTAGTAAACAAATAGAGCATTTAATTGTCAGAACAGTGATAACATAATTACTCTGATTGGCATTGCTGCAGAAGACCTAAGACTAATCAGAAATAGTCTAGATTGGAAATGACAGCTTTACATGCATGACTGAATGTGTATGGCTAAAAAATTGCTGAAGTATAAGGTTAAGAAGTTTATCATAATTACTGCATGTTTTATAGAGTGGCATCAACTGACTTGCAGAAAAATAGCAATTCTGTGTTATTCTCATACAGAAAGAGTATCTTCTGTTAAGAATTATTATTTTCTTTCATCTTGTTGTACCAATATATGCTGTAGTTACAGTGAACGAGACAATATAGGCAAATATTTGAGGGATGTATTAATTGCATGCAAGGTAACATGAAATTTCCTAAAGCCAGATATGATTCTGCATCCAATTCTATCCAATGCCTAAAATGAAGATTCCTGAGTAGTACTTTAGCTTTTAAGGTACTAGAGAACATTTTTCCATGCATCATAGAAATAATGTGATCCATTATTATCTTAAGAAATGAGGCACTTAACGTTATTCATAACGTTATTCACCATGTTCCAAATAGCTGATATTTGTCCTTAGATATGAATACCAATTAAGATAGAAAAAGTCAGGTTTATTCCATGCAAAATTACTTCCATTATTTATTTCTAGCAATTATCAGGATATATTAGGTATAGCTGCTGCAATACAGAAGACAAAAATTTTAAAATATTAAACTTGGTTCCACTGATATTTGCATAAGTCCCTTGACCTAATCAGGCCTTAGTTTTGCATTAGTCAAATTCAGGGATTGAGAGATAGTCTTAGGGATCTTTCCAACTTTAAGATAGTATTATTTATCTTCCTTCCTTCCTTCCTTCCTTCCTTCCTTCCTTCCTTCCTTCCTTCCTTC